TCTTTTCTTTTTTATCATGAATGAGTACTGGATACCATCAAATACTTTATTTGTCTCTATTAATATGATCATGTGATTTTTCTTTTTTAGCCTTTTGATGTGATGGATTGCATTAATTGATTTATAAATGCTGAACCAGCTTTGCACACCCATGATAAATACTACTTGGTTGGATTGTGTAACATTTTTCATACATTGTTGAATTCAATTTGTTAATTTTTCTTGAGGCTGTTTATGCCTATGATTATTAGATACATTAGTCTGTAGTTTTCTTCTTTTTTAAAAAAATGTCTTTGTCTGCTTTTGGTATTAAGACAATGCTGGCCTTTTTTTTTTTTCCTTCTTAATTAGCCTGGTTAGAGGCTCATCAATTTGAGTGATCTTTTTCAAAGAATCAGCTTTTGGTTTTGTTGATTTTCTCTATTGATTTCCTTAATCAATTCCATTGATTTATACTCTAATTCTTATTATTTCTTTTCTTCTGCTTCCTTTGGATTTAATTTGCTCTTCTTTTTCTAGTTTCCCAAGGTGAAAGCTTAGATGATTGATTTTAGATATTTCTTCTTTCTGATATATGCTTTCAGTACTATAAATTTCCTTCTAAGTACTGCTTTCACTGCATTCCACAAATTTTAATAAATTGTATTGTCTTTTTCATTTAGTTCAAAATATTATTTTCATATCTCTTGAGATTTCTTCTTTGACCCATGTGTTATTTAGAAATGTTTTGTTTAATCTTTATGTATTTGGGGGATTTTCAGTTATTTATTATTAATTTCTAGTTTACTTCTATTGTGGTCATGGTGTAATTTCTATGCTTTTATGTTTGTTAAATTGTGTTTTATAGCCCAGAATGTGGTCTACCTTGGTGAATGTTCCATGTAAGCTTAATAAGAATGTATCCTGCTGTTTTTGGATGAAGTCGCCTATAAATATCAATTATATTCAGTTGATTGATGGTGGTGTTGAGTTCAACTAGGGCCTTACTGATTTTTCTGCCTGCTAGATGTATCCATTTCTGATAGAAGGATGTTGAAGTCACCAACTATAATAGTAGACTCATCTATTTCTCTTTATCCCTGATAATTTTTCTTGCTTTGAAGTCTGCTCTATCTAAAATTATAATTGCTGCTGCTTTCTTTTAATTAGTGTTAGTATGGTATATATTTTTTCTCCATCCACTTACTTTTAATCTATTCATGTCTTTATATTTAAAATGGGTTTTGTGTTGACAAGCTATATTGGTTCTTGTTGTTTCATCTATTCTTTTTTTTTAATGTTTTTTTTATTGATTTCAGAGAAGACAGGAGAGGGAGAGAGAGATAGAAACATCAATGATGGGAGAGAATCATCAATTGGCTGCCTCCTGCATGCCCCACACTGGGATTGAACCGGCAACCCAGGCATGCGGCCTGACTGGGAATCGAACCATGACCTCATGGCTCATAGGTCAATGCTCAACCACTGAGCCATGCTGGCTGAGCTGTTTCATTCATTCTGACATAAAATATATACACAAGCACACATAATCAAATATACTGTTAGTATTATTTTGAACAACCTGTCATATGTTAGATCAATTAAGAAAAGTAAAAGTGCTTATTTTACCTTCATTTATCTTATCTTTGACACTCTTCTCTTTATGTAGATCCAAGTTTCTGACCTATATTATTTTCCTTCTCTCTAAGTAACTTCTTTTACCATTTCTTAAAAGGTAGGTTCAATGGCTACAAATTCTCTCAATTGTTATTTGCCTGAGAAAGTCTTTATTTCTCCTTCACTTTTGAAGTATAATTTTGCAGAATGCAGAAATCTAGGTTGGTGGATTTTCTTTCGACACTTTAAATTTTCACTTCTCTCCCTTCTTGCTTGCATGGTTTCTGAGATGTAATTCTTATCTTTGTTCCTCTATAGATCATGTATTTTTGTCCTCTGACTTCTGTCAGAATTTTTTTTTTATTGTTGATTTTCTTTAGTTTGAAAATATATGCGTCTGTGTTTTTGTTTTTTTTGTGAGGTTTTTTTGGTGCATTTATCCTGTTTGGTGTTCTCTGAGCTTCCTGACTCTGTAGTATGGTGGCTGATATTAATTTGGGGAAATTCTCATTCATTATTGTTTCAGATTTTTCTCTGTTCCTTTCCCTCTTTCTTCTCTTGGTATTCCCATTACATGTATGTTACACCTTTGTAATTGTTCACATTTTCTTGAGTATTCTGGGGGTTTTTGAGCCTTTGTTCTCTTAGCTTTTCAGTTTTAGATGTTTTCATGAATATACCCTCTAGCTCAGAGATTCTTTCTTCAGCTATGTCCAGTCTATTAATGAGCTCCTCAAAGGTATTCTTCCTTTCTGTTACAGTGTTTTTTATCTAAGTGTGTGTGTGTGTGTGTGTGTGTTTTAGTTCTTTCTTAAGATTTCCATATCTCTGTTTGGAAATCTGATCTTGCTGTCTACTTTATCCATTAGAGACCTTAGCTTGCTAAGTGTAATTGTTGCAAACCACTGTCTGGTAATTACAACATTCCTGCCATGTTTGGCTCTTATGTTTATGCTCTCTACAAATTGTCTTTTTTGCTTTTTGGTATGCCTTTTGATTACTTGACAGATAGACATGATGTACTGAACAAGAAGAACTGTAAATACTAGGCCTTTAGCAATATGGTGGTAAGATGTGGGGAGAGGAAGCATTCTATTGTCCTATGATTAGGTCTAAGTCTTCTAGTGATCCTCTGGACTGTGAACTTCCTAAGTGTTTCTCAGTCCTCCCCTCCCCTTATGGCTAGAAGGAGCTGGAGTTGGATAGTATTTACCTTATTATCAGTTAGGCTCTGGTCATAACCCAGCAGATTAGGCTGTGGTTACAAAGTTTCTACTAAAAGCTGACCTTGTTAAGAAGAACAGAGTGCTCTGGCATATTTCAGAATGGTTTCATCCCCCTCCTTCCCTCCACCAGAAACATGAGAAGATTTTTCTCTAATATTTATTATAAGAGACTTGTTGAACTCCTGAAGGAAAATCTCACAAAATTGTGAAAGTTCCCCATAACTGGGTCCTCCCAAAGTTTTTAATTATCAGAGTTTTCCATAATGAGTCTCCAACAATTAATCAACTATAGTTCAGGTTTTCCTACCTGTGGCTGGTTCCCAGGGCAGTTTCTATACTCATCAATCTCTTTTTTGGGAAAGCATTACTCCCCATGTTCATCTGACTATCTCTCTAATCTTGAGGCAGCAGTTTGCCCTGTGTCCTCCCTTCTCTATGGACCCAAGAAAAACTATTGATTTTTTTCAGCCTCTTCAGCTTTAATACTTATTGTTAGGACAGAGTGGACTATCTCTCTAATCTTGAGGCAGCAGTTTGCCCTGTGCCTTCCCTTCTCTATGGATCCAAGAAAACTATTGATTTTTTTCAGTCTCTTCAAATTTAATACTTATTGTTAGGACAGAGTGACAACTTCCAAGCTCCTACATGTGGAACTGGAGACCACCATTGAACGTTTTTAAAACATTAGCTTTTTATTCTTTTGCCAAGATGCTTACATGGCATCCAAAGTAACAACTTCAACAGCTATCCATGAAAAGGGGTGGCTGGAGAAGCCCAGCTCGCTCCCAGACAAGTGTATAAGGTAGAATATCTTCACTACTCAGAAACTCAACCCCACCAGAATCCCAAAGTTGACTTCAGTCAGAGATACTGATTCATTCTTTAAACACTTGTAAGAAAGACAGAGACTACCTAGCGTGCCAACTATCAGGTTGAACTCTCAGAGGGAATCTTTATCCTTTATGTCACAGCTATTTACAAAGGAGTGAGACACCCAGAGTTCATCAATGTAGACCTCAGAACTCCCCTCAGTTAACTGAACAACTTGTAGACCTAAAGTAATTATGACTTCCAAAGCAGGTGATCCAGTGAGCCTGCTTTTAAAGAATTACCAAAGAATTCACCTGTCTCATAGCTCCCCCTTTGCTCAAACAAAGCATTTCATGGAAAACTTGTCTACAGCTGTCCCCAGGTAAAATGACACCAAAGTTGCTCTGTCTAGGGGGAGAGCAGAGCATCTATTCTCCTTCTATATAAGAACCTAAGGTGTCCACACATGCTCTTAAAAAATCAGAGGAGAATTAGGAACATAATTGACACTTACCTTTCAGACTACAGACATTTTATAACATATATTTTATTCATAAGATGCTATATCACTAGGAGTAACCAAATCCTTGTTTGAAAGCCAAGCCTTGTCTGAATTTCTATTCAGAAATTTGAGACCTTAAAAAAGGTTTCTTTTCCTGATCATTTCATGAATACCTTGGATTTTTTTTCCTCTCATAGAAATATTAAGTTATATTGACACAGGAAAGAGCATAGCAAAAATTAGATTTTTAATGGGAAATTTTACCTAACCTGCAGCTTCACCTTAAAATAAAAAACTGGGGAACTGCACATTAATCCCAGATTCAGACCTTGTCCGCTACTTCACTCTCACCCTGGTTCACTCCCTTGTGGGACAGAAACCGTGTATGATTTATTTTTGCATAACACATTGTTTTATGTAGATTAGAATTCTAGTATTCAAAAAATATTTCGTGATGTATTACCTTTCTTGATAAACTATTGTCAAATAAGTGTGTGTTTCAGGAAAGCAAAAAAGAACATTTAAAGCATTTTTAACTTTATTTTTACCATAACTCATAATGAAAAGTACATTTACATCATAACCATTATATACATATGAACATATATGTATACATCTATCCAAAACAAAAATTATAACTAAAACACAACTTACCCTCCAGATGGCTGATGATTTTGCCTATTTATTCTATTTCATTTTTTAAAATGCTATTCATGACCCACTAGCAGATTTCATGACATCTAATGGTTTGTGATTGATTCAGTTTGAAAAATATTGATTTAGAAAACTAGTTTCTGGAAACAAATATGGAAGCAAATGATAAATAAATAAACTAGAAAAAAAGTTTTAAAATAACGGTTACTCACTTGGTTGATGCCAAAGCAACATTGGGTGGCATCTGCTGAAAGGATGGGAGGAACGGCCTGGGGACGAAAGGAAAATACAAACATGTGGGACTTCTATATTGTGTGCCCTCCCAGCTTTCTCCCACGGAGCTTGAATATCCCGTATGTCAGTAATCCTCAAACTTTTGACGTACATAAAATCACTAGGGAGGGGAGAGATTCTTGTTCAAAATGCAAAATGCCAAGTCTAGACGAGGGGATGCAGCAGATATATGGCAGAGCCAATGAAGCTGTACTTTAAACAATCGTCGCAGTGTTTCCTCTGCAGGTGGGAAGCAAGGAACACTTTGAGAAGCAATGCTCTATAGTTGGGCTTCAGCTGGTCATTAGCTTCCAGAAACTTCTCAAGTGCCCTGAGACATTCTGACATTCCCAGTGATTTAGTTTTTAAAACTTCCCTTCAAAAGTCTAGGAATTGAGTATACTATGTTAAGAATTTAATATTTCTCTGAAAAAGTCAGTGTCCATAAGGAGTTTGCTTGTAAATAATAATGTGGACTACAAATTTTCTTTCTTGAAGAAGCTCATTTAGATATACCAAGCCTATTTTTCTAACTCAGGTAAGACCTACAGGGAAGTCTTCATCTTACATTAATTTGATCTGAGTATATGATTATCTCTTGAGTATTAATCACAAATGAAACAAAGTGAATCTTGAACCATGTTAGTTTTGGCAACATTCACACAAAGAGAGCAAATGTCATCTATTTACTCCCTTTTAACAATTTTCCCTGCACTATGACTGTCATGCTGTCTCTAGTATATCTCACTTCATGTGATGACTTTTTTTTTTCAAATATACATTCTTATTTACAGTTAAGTACCTTGAAGTCAGGCAGACTTAGTTGGGATCCCAGCTCTGTCACTTGCTAACTTAGGTGACCATGAGTAATTTATTATCCTCTTTTGGTTACAGCTTCCTTAGTGGTAAATTGGGATAATATATCCTAACCTACATTTCTGTTGTGAAAATTTAAAATATATATGAGAAGCACTTAAAGTAGTGCCTGGCACATTATATGCACTTAAAAATGATAGCAACTCTCATTATCATAAAGAGGTTCTCTACTAATATCAGGGCTCATATTCTTAGTAATTACTTTCTACCTTTCAAAATATTTATAGCGATTCTTCCCAGTAACATCAGGATCTTCATAAACTTCTTTAGGCATTTGAAAAGAAGTGTCATATCTAAAATAAAGCAGGAAAACATTATTCAAGTTTAACATATTTCCAAATACCATTTCTATTTAATATTTCTATGTCTATAAAGTAGGAGATACAAGTGTATTTCAGACTGAGAGCAAAGTCTTCTATAACATACATCTGACTGACTTTCCCTGAGCCAGGAAACCTGGAATTAACAAAAGGAAGTGAGAGTTAAGAAAAGAGTCAATTGTCATAGACACAGAGAACAGACTGATGGTTGCCAGAGGGGAGAAGGGTTGGGGGACTGGGTGAAAAAGGTTGAAGGGATTAAGAAGTACAAATTGGTAGTTACAAAGTAATCATGGGGATGTAAAGTACAGCATAGGGAATATAGTCAACAAAATTGTAAAAACTATGTATGGTGCCAGGTGGGTTCTGGAAATATTGGGGGGAACACTTTGTACAGTATATGGTTATCTAACCACTATGCTGTACACCTGAAATGAGTACAAAGTAATACTGAATGTCAACTATAATTGAAGAATAAAATTTAAAGTTCTTTTTAAAAAAATAAATGAATTACTTGATTTATTTAAAAAAAAAAACAAGAAGAGTCAATTTATAAAATCCCACATTTTTTAAAAAAATGCCTACTTTTAATTAATAGCACATGAGAATAACAAAGTTTTAAAAGACAACTTTTGATATCCAGGCTGAAAAACAGCATTTAAAAAAATGTTTACTAGGTATGAACTAGTAAATAATCAAAAGAATAAGGAATTCAGGACACTTGTCTGTGAAGGTGCTTTGGCTACAAGTCTCCAAAACATATATTTAGATACTACCAGAAAAGTACGCATCCAATTTCTAAGATGGATCAAAGGAACAACAAATTCAGTCACCTCCACTTGTGGTGGCAAGATGTCATTATTTATATATTTATATATATCTACACTAATAAAAGAGAAAGATGCAAATTGACCATACCCCTGACACGCTTTCCATTGGCTAATCAGGGAGATATGCAAATTAACTGCCAACCAAGATGGCAGCCGGCAGCCAGGCAGCTGAAGCGAACAGGAGGCTTGCTTGCTCCAGTGATGGAGGAAGCCAAGGTTTCCCGCCTGCCGCCGCCCAGCTCTGAGCTGCACTCTAAGCAACTATGTTGCAATTATAGAAGCTAAACAATCCCCAGAAACCTGCTTTCAGCCAGCCGGGCCTCAGAGCTGGAGTTGCAA